CATGTAGCAGCTGGACCCGCCGGTGGGTCCGTAGGGTTCAAGGGGATATGGGGTGGGATAACTTAATAAAAACACGTGTGGGTATCTCAATTTGTAAATGTTAGTCAATAAGGCTCCGCTTTGTTTGTGATTAGCAAGAAAACTGATTCTGTATTATACAATAAACAAAAATCCTCAAATCTACAGTACACGCTCCAGTAGGTATGGTGTTTAGGTCTCATCAACATGAAAAGAGCCTTAAAGTGATTTATCCGTGGTGATGAAATCCCTGAGGCAGCCCTACAGGTCTCTGATGGTTCCTGACTGTGTGAAACCTTCAGGGTTAAAGAGGACATTTAAAAATGGGCCCAGCCTCCTGCACCCCCTCCCTAATGGCTTTCTCCAAGCTTCTGCAGATACGAGTAGAACTGAGTCACATATTTCCTCAGACAAAGACATTCCTACCAATTTGCAAACTACTTTGAGAGGAGGCACGTGATAGACCAACCAGCACCTGACAAGCCAACAGACACAGACTTTGTTTTCACTCAAATCTTATTTTTCCCCTTATTTGTTCTCCCAAAAATAGAAAGTTTGAATTAGATTATATTTATGGTGAAATTTGATTTTTTTTTTTTTTTTTTTTTGGGTGGAATCTAATGGAATCTGGAATCTATTTTCTCTTCCACTAGTAGCTAAATTCATATTAGAATATTGTGTTTTCTTGATAAAATGGGTGTTGGGTCAAATATGGGACACACCAGCTTTGTGTGCAACATGTTTAACAGGTTGTACATCAAAAAGCTGGAAACAAAAAAAAATAAACAGAGAAGGATATTTATAAGGTAAAATGTGTCAATTTATGAAGAAGTTTGATCAGTAAAGCCAAAGTAAAAGAGTTTGAAAACAGGAACCAAAGGTCACGGCCATTGGAGGCTCAGAAGAACTGGCAATAAGTGGTTCCTGAAGTAAAGGAAGTGGAACTACTGCTGTCTGATCCCTGATCCACACACTGGCTCTGCACACTGGAATAGGATCAAAACTGATAAATAAAACGCTGCTATTTTCATGAAGCTTGGTCTCTTAAGGGAAGCTTTACCAAAATATCACACTATTTACGAGCATCTCTGATGCTAACAGACTTCTTGAATGCTGATGGGAAATTACATTTTAGCTTCCAGAACGAGGAATTGGCAGCATATTCCTTTCCAGGTGGACGTTTCCATTTCTCTCTGCACGTGTGGAGTGATTTACAACAGCAGAGGGAAAGCAGGTCTCACATGGTTTAATAAACCATCTGGTAAATTGCTGGTTAAACCTACTGATAAGCACCAGGTGTATCAACGTGTCTCACCTTCGCAGCCATAACAAGAACTGGACTTTTTTTTTTATTTTATTATTATTTTTTTTTTATTAAAACAAGAAAAAAAAAACACACACAAATGGATGCCTGGCCCATTTGCAGTATTTATTCAGGCTGAATTGCATCAATTGTGAAAGTATTTTTTCCTGAACATTTGCAATGAAACATTATTGATTGTGATTACCCTCAGTTTCTACCTTCTCCATCAAAACATTAAGCTTTAAGACCTTTATTACTAAGGCTTATACAGGTTATAAAGTAATCATGCAAACAGGTTAAGGTCATAAAGGACAGAAAGCATTAGGAATAGACATTTATTTGCAATTTATTTTTTTTTCCAAAGGCAGTTTCTAAATTGCAGAGGAACTCAATTTCTGGTTTTGTCAGGTTATACAGGAGACAGACAGCAACTTTTCCACTCAAACTAAAAAAGTATATTCTACAGTAGAGGAAAATTCCAAAAAAGAAAAATACATAAAATTTTATTCAACAATAATAGATTTTGTGATATATATCTATAGATATATATCTATAGATATATATATCTATATCATCTATATATATATATATATATATAGATATATCTATCTATAGATAGATATAGATATATCTATCTATAGATAGATAGATAGATAGATATATCTATATATATAGATATATATATATATATATATACGATCAAGCGGAAGCAGTTCAGCACAAATATGTTGCGACAAAATTGTTTTTAATCATATATATTTTTTAAATAAAGTATTAAATGCCACGATAACAACATTTAATGAATTGTTAATGCCAATTAAGGCCTTCATTTGAAGAATGATAATTAAATAACTTTTGATTGTTTTAACACACCTGAATCAAAAGAGTGGCTTGTTACCATGCCACAGCTGAGCTAAACATGGGGATTGAGCCTTTAGATTCCGGTGTGTTAGAGAAGAGAGACATAAGAGTTAGAGGGTGGTAGCTCTTGAGGACTGTACTTGAGCACCCCTTTTCTAAAGCATCAATTACAAACAANAGTTCAGCACAAATATGTTGCGACAAAATTGTTTTTAATCATATATATTTTTTAAATAAAGTATTAAATGCCACGATAACAACATTTAATGAATTTTTAATGCCAATTAAGGCCTTCATTTGAAGAATGATAATTAAATGATTTTTGATAGTTTTTTTATGACCCGCAGAAACCCTGATTCTAAAACATGCCTTTAGCTGACAGAGCAA